CCGTTGCCATCAAGTTGATTCCAGCCCACAATGACCCTAGAGGACAGAGAAGAACTGCCCCACAGGGTTTCCAAGGAGCAGCTGATGGACTTGAACTGCCAACTTTTTGGTTAGCAGCTGTATCACTTAACCCCTGTGTCACCAGGGCTCCAAGCTCTTGATGCCAAAACCAAACTCACTGCCACTGAGTTGATTCTGACTCATAGCAACCCCATAGGGTTTCCAAGACTCTAAATCTCTACGGAAGCAGACTGCCACATCTTTCTCCTGCAGAGCAGCTGGTGATTTCGAACCACCAACCTTTTGGTTTGCAGTCAGTCGCTTTACCAAGCCCTTGATAGCCATGAATACTTAGAAACTCAAGTTGTTGTTCTTAGCTGCTGTGAGTCAGGGTGATCCCATGCACAACGGGATCAGATCGTTGTGATCCCTGGGGTTTTCTTTGGCTCATTTTTGGAAGTTGATCGCTAGGCCTTTCTTCCCAGTCTGTTAGTCTGGACGCTTCACTGAAACCTGTTCGGCATCATAACAACACATATACCTCCACTGATAGACAGGTGGGCTGTGCATGAGGTGTATTGGCCAGGAATGAAACTTCGGTCTCCTGCATGCATAGAAAGCCACTGAACTACAAATGCCTACAGAAGCTCAAGTAGGCAATAAAAATTTAAAATTTTTGCATTCAAAAATTCATCAAAGTTGAAATTATAGTCAAATAAATATATCTTTTTCTTTTTTTTAATTTTATTGTACTTGAAGTGAAAGTTTACAATTCAAGTTAGTTTATCATACAAAAATTTATACACACATTGTTATGTGACCCTAGTTGCTCTCCCTATACTGTGTATATCTTTTTCTTTCATCACCAATTTGAAATTTCTTGTGATAACATTACTAGATTTTTTAATCCAATTGAATGCTTTAACCTCAAGCATTTCCAGATAATGATGAAGCTCTAATTTGAAGCTCCCTTCCTTCATGGTTGACATCTATTTGATATGTACTGGTAATCACTGTTTGCAGCAGGTGTCTGTTCTGATTGGTCAATGTCTGTGTCACCTCAGATGTTAAACATTTTTAATATCTTCCTGCCCATATGCATTGTGAAAGCAATCACCCTGCAGTTAGTTTGTTGTTGTTAGCTGCTGTGGACTTGGTCCCCAACTCATGGCAACCCCATGCACAATGGGATTGGGCCACTGTTACCATAGGGTTTTCACTGGCTGATCTTCCAGAAGTAGATCACCAGGCGTTTCTTCCTAGTCTGTCTTAGTCTAGAATCTGTTCAGTATCACAGCAACACACAAGCCTCCATTGACAGACGGGTGGTGGCTGCACATGAGGTGCATTGGCCAGGAATCAAACCCAGTTCTCCCACATGGAAGGCGAGAATTCTACCACTGAACTACCATTGCCCTTACAGTTAGCTTTAAAAAAAAACAAAAACAAAAACAAAAACCCGTTGCCACGTAGTCAATTCTGACTCATAGCAACCCTATAGAACTGCCCCATAGGGTTTCCAAGGAGTGGTTGGTGGATTGAACTGCGGTTCTTTTGATTAGCAGCCAAGCTCTTAGCCATTGTGCCAGCAGTTAGCTTAGACACTGCAAAAATGAATCATCAGCCACAAATGGGCGTAAGTATCTGATACTATGTAAAGACAGATTTGGGTCAGCTTCCAGGAGCTGCTCTGGCCAGGAACCCCCATTTGGCCTCTTTGACCCTCTACCCCTGACTAGCTGCACCTTGGAACCCAACTCCTTCAGTAGAGCTTCGGGCCCTTGTCCACGATGGGTGGCAGTGCGCTCTGCAGCTGGCCTCTGAGGTGCATGTCCAGGTAGTAAGACATGGTGGGGTGGCAAATGCCAGATGTCGATGACCCTGATGCCCACTTTGGGGACTGTAGGGCAGGATGTCAGACTCCGGCCCGCTTGAATCATATTCAAGGAGCCTCCCGCCCCATGGGCTGCTTCTGCCCAGAGGTAACTGGCCAAGCTGGTGGCCCCATCTGTAACCCAATTACAGCATGCCCATGTATTATGACCACTGGCTGGGAACCTCTTCCGTAGAGAAAATAAGACGTGATAATCATATTACCTAATATTTATCAATGAATGTATGGTTTATAATGCTCTTTCACAGTGGATCTCATTTGATCTTCCCAAGAACAGTCCGTAAAGATTATCATCCCATTTTACAGAAAAGAAAATAGCCTAAAACAGGGTGAGTTGCTCAAGCTGACATGCCAAGTCCATACTTCCCTGCAGGGTGCCTCAGGGATGTACATAGTGCTATGTCACGATAAACGATGCCAGTTATGGGAGTGACGGTTGTACTTGAAACTTTTTTGAAAAACTTAATTGGTAAATGTTATGGATGAGGCAGGACTTAATCTACAAGATCAGGTTGTATCTTGAGTCAATCTCTTTTGAGATATAAAAGAGAGAAGCGAGCAGAGAGACAGGGGTCCTCATACCACCAAAAAAAAAAAAAAAAAAAAAGCCAGGAAAACTCGGGGTCCCTGTGCTGAGAAGCTCCTCAATCGGCAAAGACTGATGACAAGGACCTTCCCTCAGAACCAACAGAGAGAGAAAGCCTTCCCTTGGAGCTGGCACCCTGAATTTGGACTTCCAGCCTATTAGACTATAAGAGAATAAATTTCTCCTTGTTAAAGCCATCCACTTGTGGTATTTCTGTTACAGCAGCACTAGATAACTAAGACAGTAAATAATTAAAAATATTTTTATAAGAAAATAAACACGTGATGAAATTGAAAATTTGTCCAGGTTTGCAAGATAAAGCACAAAACTTCAAAGACCAATGTGCTTAAAAAGGGCTACTTCGAGCTATGTCCTCAGACTTGTGGGGCGTGGGGATGAATTCTCTCTTCTGCCATGGGTGATTGATATACACACACTAACGTGGAGCTGGGATTTACCCTTTTTCTGATTCCACATCCTGGAATCTGCAGGGGAGCTTTCCCTGTCCTGTGCTTATCCCATGTAGAAAGCCATCCGGGTTTTAAGACAGTTACAGAGAGAGTAGTTGGAGAGTGAGCTTCAGGAAGGAGGTAGTATAAAACTGTACATTGGACGTGTGGAGATGAGGGGAGAGAGCTTTCCAGGCAGAGCAAAGGAAAGGAGGCAAGAAAGTGGGGCTGGGTAAGGTGAGCAAGGGCTACAGGGACAAGTACATGAAAATGAATAATGAAAAGATTAGGAAGGCAGATTGGCTTCAGGAAGGTTTATATGGCGGGAAGTCTATGATGATACTAGACTGATGAGATACAGTTAGAAAGCTGGAGGTGAGAAGACCTGAACCAGAGGAAATGAGAGGAGGGCTTGTATGCAAGAAGTCATCAGGACTTGCCAAATGACGGGGCATGGGGCAGAATCAAAGAGAGAGGTGGACAAGTCGATGGCTGAACTTTCAGCTCACCTGAGGACATCCAGGTGGGGGTTAGAAAATGGGCAACGAGCTCAGGGCTGGGATTTGGCATTGTCAGTTATGTGCCTACAGGTGAAACTTGTCACCTTGATATTGAAAGAGATTGACATCAGAGAGGTGAAAAGAGAGCCAGAGGAGGACCTGGTTAAAGGCCCTAGTGGAAGGTGTCCTCAGCAGTGGTGAATGATGGAAAGAGGTCAGAGTTGTCTTCACATAGTGCCTGGAACATTGTAGGCACTCAACAAACATTTGTGGGATGAATGAAAGAAAAATCAGGAATGAGAAATGCTACATTCAGGACAAGTGATGTGAAAGAAGCAGTGGTAGAACCCGGACTTGGGGGTGTTGGAGAATAACTGAAAGATTGTTGCACTTGTTCCAGAAAGTGGCCCAGACCAGCTTCACAGCCTCTTCCAACACCGAGCACCTAGTATTGACCATCAGGAAACTGTCCTTTCAGCTGGGGTGCAGTGGGGTTTAATACTGACCTGCATGGAGAGGTCACGATTAAATGCAAACTCGGCCCTTTTCCATTCAATCTCAACTTCAGGAAATTAAAAAAAAAAAAAAAAAAAAAAAAAAATCTTACCACCAATTGGCTCACATAATTTCATTACAAATCACTTCTTTCTTTCCCTACTGTGTTTTTTCCCCCATTTTTCTTTTTTAAAACATTTTGTCGTTGTTGAGAATACACATAGCAAAACATACCAATTCAACAGTTTCTATGTGTACAGTTCAGTGACACTGATTAAATTCTTCAGGTTGTACAACCATTCTCATCCTCCTTTTCCGAATTGTTCCTCCCTCATTACTATGAACTCACTGCCTCCTAAATTTCCTATCTAATCTTTCCAGTTACTGCGGTCAATTTGATCCCATATAGCTGTAGACAGATCATGAAAGAGCACAATGCTCAAGGCAGGCATTCTTTACTAGTTAAGCTAAACTTCTGTTTGGTTTTAAGAAAAGTTCAGGGGATATTTTTGGTTTAAGGTTGAAAGATTATCTCAGTGTAATGCGTGTCCTTTTTTTTCTTCTTAGAAATAAGGAGGCCGACAGATTAGAGGGCTCATCTGCACGGTTCCTACCGCTCACACCTAGGTCTTACTTTAGAAAGCTTATTTAAACAAAGATTATTCTCTGCTTCCTGAAAATCCCACTCCAAATGTTTTATTTTTGAAAAAGGCATAACAAGTTTCTCTCCTTTGGAGAAAAGTCTTCTCAAATCTTTTGGGTTTTTAAAATATTACGCTGAAGGGGGAGAAGAGGCTGCCAAGGGCCTGGTTTTGGGGGTGCAGGGAAGCCTGGAAAGCAGTGCAGACACACCTGACCAGTGCAGGTGGGCAAGAGTGGGAAGCCGTCCTGTGCTTCCCTCTCCAGCCCGCCTGGTTCTATTTGCCATAGGCGCCAGAGGCTGAAGTCCAGAGCAGGGTGCTGGGGAAAGAGCGGCCTGTGCATTCCCTGCCTTTGATCCAGTCATTCTGGCCCTTTGAGCTTGGGAGGTCCGGGGCTCGCACACTCCCCGCTCTCTCTGGAGACCAGCCTGCGGCATGCAGCTGCTGCTGGCGCTGGGCTGCAGCCGGGGCCTGGGGCGCACCCTGAGCGCATGGGGGCTGCGCTCTGGCCGCTCCGGGCCCGGCGCGCTGCCTGCAGCGAGACTCTGCGACCCCAGGCGCACCGGGAGCCGCCAGGCCTCCGACGTCCCCCGCAACCAGCCCCCAAGCTCAGAATTCGTGGCCCGCTCCGTGGGCTCTATGATGCGGCTGCCGGTGCAGTCCTCCCCCGAGGGACTGGACGCCGCTTTCGTCGGGGTGCCCCTGGACATTGGGACCTCCAACCGGCCTGGGGCGAGGTAAGGCCTGGAGGACCAGGGCTAGGGCACGTGGTGGGCCAGCCAGACAGCCGTGGGGCATGATAGGCACAATAGGCCCCTCTCCCCACCCAGGCTCGGGTTGGAAGCTGGTGTATGGATCCAAAATGGCCCTTTTCGTTTGTGACACAGTGATCTCCCTCGGCCTGCCTCAGTTAGCAGCCCCGAGCGTTCTGCACGCCATTGGCGGGGTCACCTTCCGGTCCCTTCGCTGTCATCCATTGGTAAAGAAGGGTTCTGGGACTCAGCCTTCTCCACGCCCCCATCCGGGGGCCTTGCTGGGATGGCGGCTGGGGGTATCCTATTCCTGCCCAGTGTACAGTGGCAGGTGACCTTCCCTCTGAGAACAGAAGCAGCTGGCTGACGCTTCCCAAAACCTCCAGGTGCCACCTGACTCAAGAAATGCTCAAATTAAGGCAATTTTCCTAAGTCAGGGGAAGTAAAGTCCATTTTCGTAAATATTTAGCATCAGCTGTTTCTGAGTCAGCTCAGCAACATTACATCTGACTACATGGTCTGAATCATAAAAGTCACCATTTATGAAACGTCTACTAGCCCTTTGCCTAGATCACCTCACTTAATTCTTACAACAGCAGGGTAAATATTATTATTATTATTTTACAGATTAGGAAACTGAAACTCAGAGAGACTAAGAAATTGTCTAATGCCATTTAGTAAAGTGGTCAGCTCCAAAGCCTGTGCCTCTAATCTCTTCAATATGTAGGCTAGATCAGTGGTTCTCAAAGGGAGGTGATTTTGTCCCCCAGGGGACATTTGGCAATGTCTCTAATGAAAAATTTTTTCTCGACTACTAACCAAAAGGTTGGAGGTTCAGATTTACCCAGTGGCACTGCGGAAGAAAGGCCTGGCGACACGGGGTCGCTGTGAGTCAGAATTGACTCCATGGCAATGGGTTTAGTTTTTTTTTTGTGTGTGTGTGGAAGCATTTTTGGTTGTCATGACTGGGCGGGGAGGAGATGGTGCTACTGGCATTAAGTGGGTAGAGGCTAGGGATGCTGCGAAACGTCCTACAATACACAGGGCAACACCTACAGGAAAGAGTCATCCAGCCCCAAATGCCAACAGTGTGAGGCCAAGAAGCCCCGTCCTAGGCAGAGCCTCCACTTTTGGGGATGACAGGTAGGATGGTTCTTCCTTTTCCAGATTTGGCCCCCGTAGGATACGGGAGGAATCGGTGATGCTGCGGTCAGCCAATCCGAGCACGGGGGCCCTCCCCTTCCAGTTCCTCATGGTCGCGGATCTGGGCGATGTGAATGTCAATCTTTACAACCTTCAGGACAGCTGCCAGCTCATTCGAGAGGCCTATCAGAAAATCGCAGCAGCTGGCTGTGTTCCTCTGACCTTGGGTAATGGCGGTCTGCAATGGCCAGTGTAATTTTCTGAGTTTATTTATCATGCGCTTGAGTACAGCTACTTCTCCAGGGCAAGCTTCAGTGGCTATGGAGACAGTAGGAAAGGGAAAAGTCTAACTCATTTATTTGACCCCCTGAGGAGAGGAGATTTAAATTTTTGGACTAGCAAGACTGAACTAGTGTGAGGAGAGGAAGACATTGCCTTGGGTGCAAAACTTAAGAGGTGCCAAAAAATAATCAAGATCAATTAAGTGTTGTTGATTTTTTCCCTTTTGTCTCAGTTTCCAATATGGCTCAGAATGGCACTGTTACTGATCCTGACTTTGTTTAACATTTTGATAGTTTGTTCATCATGGATTTTATTTTGCATCGATCACGATTTTTAAAAATATTACATTAAAAGTCTTTATCTTGATTACTGAGATTTCCGGCGCCCTTTAAATCTTGCACCCACTCACCTCACCTAATTCACCCTAGTCCCAGCGCTGATGACTAATACACAGGCCTGGAGAAGGCTGCCAGTAGGGACTTGGTTGCGACTTTCCAACTATCTCAAGGATGTTGACGCCTTTGAACTACGGTGTTGGCAAAGAATATTGAATATACCATGGGCTGCCAAAAGAACGAACAAATCTGTTTTGGAAGAAGTACAGCCAGTGTTCCTTAGAAGGGAGGATGGCGAGACTTTGTCTCACATACTTTGGACATGTTATCAGGATGGACCAGTCCCTGGAGAAGGACATCATGCTTGGTAAAGTAGAGGGTCAGCGAAAAAGAGGAAGAACCCCAATGAGATGGATTGACACAGTGACCACAACCATGGGCTCAAGCACAACAACGATTGTGAGGATGGCGCAGAACTGGGCAGTATTTCGTTCTGTCGTGCGTAGGGTCGCTATGAGTCAGAACTGACTCGACGGCATGTAACACCACCACCACCATCTAGCCTTCACAGCATAGTGGGTAAGGAGTGTGGTTTCTGGAATCAGCATGGAATCAGCATGGTTTGAAATCTCAGCTCCACCTCTCACTGTGTTACTTGCTGTACTGCTTTATGCTTTATTTTCTTATCTGTAAAATGGGAATAATAATAATACTCTTACCTCATTGTATTGTGTGAGGGACATATAATGAAAGTGCATATAAAGTGCCTAGCACTACACCTGGCACATTTTAATCTTCAATAAATGTTAGCTTTTGTTATTCTTCATAATTAACAATAGTAACAGTTTTATAGGCCTGCACTGTCTAGCAAGGTAGCCACTAGCCACCTGTTGCCATTCAAATTAAAATTAATTAAAATGAAATGAAATAAAAAATTCAGTTCCTTAGTCATGCTAGCCACATTTCAATAGCCATATGGGGCTGTTGTTGTTGTTAGGTGCCATCGAGTGGGTTCCGACTCATAGCGAGCCTGTGTACAACAGAACAAAACACTGCCCGGTCCTGCACCATCCTCACAATCATTGCTATGTTTGAGCCCATTGTTGCAGCTGCTGTGTCAATCCATCTCATGGAGGGTCTTCCTCTTTTTCGCTGACCCTCTACTTTACCAAGCATGATGTCCTTCTCCAGGGATTGATCCCTCCTGATAATATGTCCAAAGTATGTGAGACAAAGTCTTGCCATCCTCCCTTCTAAGGAGCATTCTGACTGTACTTCTTCCAAGACAGATTTGTTCGTTCTTCTGGCCACTGTGTTGGCCAGTGCAAATGTAGGACATTTCCATCATTGCCGAAAGTTCTATTGGACAGAGTTATTTTAGGCATTTACCTGTAAGCCTGGATTTGTCTAATTTCCTCTTTTAAATGGCAGTGAAATCTTAAACATCTTACCATTGGAAAAGATCTTGTGTTAGCTATGGTTATAATTCTTCTGAGTCCCTGGGTGGTGCAAATGGTTAAGTACTGGACTACTAACAGAAAGTTTGGTGGTTCACACCCACCCAGAGGCGCCTTGGGAGTAAGACCTGGCGATTTGCCTCTGAAAGGTCACAGCCTTGAAAAGCCTTTGGCGCACAGTTCTACTCCGCAACATGTGGGGTCACCATGAGTTGGAATCAACACCACGGAAATTAACAACAACAGTCGTTTTTCAATCTAATTGAAAGGCTGGCAGAACTGAGTGGGTTTAAGATTATTCTACGGAATACGTGGTTCTCTAATCTTATCCACATTCCAGATTTTTTTTTTTTTTTTCTCTTTGCAGGTGGAGATCACACAATCACATATCCCATATTGCAAGCAATGGCTGAAAAGTAAGTCCCAAATGGCCTGGCCCAAGTGAGGTTTCAACATTCAGGAGCTAGGGAGTGAGTTGTTTGCTGCAGGTGGCATCAGGTGACCTCCACTGGCTCAGGTTATTGGCGGTGATAGGAAATTCCCAACTGAGCTGCTTCTGCACTTGAAAATTAAGGTCGAGCTCCTGGTGTCTCTGTCAGTCACCAGCTGGAAGCCAAGACAATTATTAACACTGCTGGCCCCCTCCTTTGCCCTGGATCTATTCTGGAATGCATGCTCAGTGTTTTCAACTTGCCTCTGTTTTTGGAAAATGAGCTCTTAATGAAATACACAACCCCAGTTAACTTTAGTTTCTGTTTTGCTTCAACAGCCAAGTACAAATATCGAGAGGTACAAAGGTAGAGCTCACTGCAGAGAGTCCTGTCTTCTCCTGAAATGGTCCCCTTCCCAGACAATGGAAAGACTGATTTTCGAGTAGTGGGAGTCCACCAGGGACCGACTGGTTTTGTTGTTGTTAGTTGCCATTGAGTTGCCTCCGACTCATGGCGAGCTTATGTATTAACAGAATGAAACGTTGCCCGGTACTGCACCATCTTCATGATCATTGGTGTGTTTGAGCCCATTGCTGTGTATTTTGAGTGCCTTCCAACCTAGGGGGCTCATCTGCCAGCACTATATTGGACAGTATTCTGTTGTGACCCATAAGGTTTTCATTGGCTAATTTTCGGAAGTAGATCACCAGGCCTTCCTTCCTAGTCCATCTTAGTCTGGAAGCTCTGCTGAAAGCTGTCCACCATGGTTTCTGAAATACTAGTGGCAGAACTTCCAGCATCATAGCACCACACAAGCCACCACAGTACAACAAACTGACAGATGGGTGGTGGAAGGACTGACTACCTTTGGCTAATTTAGTTTCAGAGAGAGGTAGCAGGGCAGAGGCGGTAGCAGCTTCTGAATTCAAGTATGAGAAAAGGCATGTGGGTAGCATTCTAGCTGGGGGTGGTGGGTGTAGGTCTTTTCTCAAAGCTGTGTTTGCATGGTTTTGATCTGGATGGTGTATTTGGGGTGGCTGGCAGGGGTTGGTGGACATTATGGGAGACAGCTGGGTTAAAGCTTCTTCCTGTTGCCACAGTTGGAGAAAGGGTGGCTCTGATCAGTCCAGCCTTCAGCGGAGCTCGCTTCCAAGCCACCATTTATGCTCATCCTCTCTGCCCTGTCTCTAAGTGAAGCCAATGATGGGTGATGGGGAGTGGGTGGCAGCCAGCGTGCATGTCTGTTTTCTGCCTGACTTCCTGGAGTTTATTGTTCCTCTGAGATGCTAAGTGATTTTGTTTTGAAGACAGAAACCAGTTGCCAGGCAGATATTGATGCCAGGTCTCCCCTCTGTGGCTATGAATTATCATCAAGTGTTGGTGGCCTGAAGTTGCTGTGCTAGGGGCCACCAGGGAGGCTTGGCCTCTGAGCTGCCTTGTGTCATCAGGCATGGCCCTGTGGGATTGCTGCACGTGGATGCGCACACGGACACAGCCGACAAGGTCCTGGGAGAGAAACTGTATCACGGGTTGCCCTTCCGCCGATGCGTGGACGAGGGGCTCCTGGACTGTAAGCGGGTGGTGCAGATCGGCATCCGGGGCTCTTCCATGACCTTGGATCCCTACAGATACAACTGGAACCAGGTGACAGACTGAGTGCCCCTCCCCGTCACTCCTGTCCCCAAACTGCCTACCACATGGCAGCCACGGATTCAACAGGGGCTTTACTAGTCAAGTTCAGAAAGTAGGGCCGAAAGGTTGAGACTGCATCAAGAGGATCATGTGGAGGAGAGGGAAGTGAGGATGTTAGTTTATTAGGCGCCAAAACCAAACCAAAGCCACTGCCGTCGAGTCAATTCTGACTCACAGCGACCCTACAGGACAGAGTAGAACTGCCCCATAGGGTTTCCAAGGAGCGGCTGGTGGCTGCCGAACTCTTAACTACTGCGCCACCTGGGCACAGGAGGCCTCTTATCACTGGGGTGGGGAGACAAGCAGAAACAAACCAGCCCCTCAGAGGTTGCTGGCTTCTCTTGGAAAAAATGAGTTGGTCCAACCCAAGGTGAGTTGCAGCCTCTTAGTTCTCATCCTCATACCCACCAGCCAGAATGGCTGTATGTAAACACATGGGACAAGACCCCTTTCCTGGGACCGGTAGTGAGCTGAGTTTCTTACTATTGCTTTAGAAAAGCTTCCCTCTGATCCCAACTCCATAGGTCAGCTTTGACTTACTCCTTGCTTCTTTACCAGTCATTGTCCCTCCCTCATGGGGTCTAAAGGTCAAGTGTGATATGCACATGAAGAGCTTAGCCATGGGGGTTGGCACCTAAGAAATGCCCAGAAATGCTGCTACGCAGAAGCCTAAACCTTCAGATCCTTACTTCCTACCTCCTCAGGGCTTCCGGGTCGTCCTTGCCGAAGACTGCTGGATGAAGTCGCTGGTTCCTCTGATGGGGGAGGTGAGGCAGCAGATGGGAGGCAAACCCATTTATATCAGCTTTGATATTGATGCCTTGGATCCTGCCTATGCCCCAGGGACAGGGACGCCTGAAATCGCTGGTCTCACCCCTAGTCAGGTAAGGAGGCACCCCAGGTGAAAATTCCTGGAGGTCGGGTGGTGATTCCTGGGACTGGCAGTGAGACTTCAGGAATCAAGACAAAATTTTAAAAGTGAGCATCTAGGCCTTTATTGTTCTCAGGTCTGAATACTTACTCACTGAGGCGTGACAGAGGGCACTCATGTCTTAGCTGGGAGATAATCGTCTTCCTGCCTCTGGTCCATCTGTAGTAAGTTCATGTGGACAGTGTTGTAGTACCCCCTTAGGCACACTAAACTTACCTTTTTAGGGTTGAATTTAAAAAGTGCACATAATGAGATTAACCACCTACTAAAGTAATTCTAGAGTTTTAGGAACACTTAAATAAAATTTCCATAAGGTTGGCCAAGTGTAAACCCAGGGAGGCAGAATTGGAATGTGGTTATAACTAGAAGGTAAGCTCCAGGAGGGCAGGGACTTTGTTTACTACCCTATCCTTGGAGCCTAGACTAGTGCCTGACATACAAATAGTAGGTACTCAAAGATATTTGATGAGTAAGTGAATGAAGACTGCTTAAACCTAATCAATTATCTGATGTAAGAAAAGGACGATCATGAAGAACTCTCTCAAAGCCATTCTCAATTCCCATCCTCATCCCTCTGCTTATCATCCTTCTGTAGTCAGTTTTGTCTGCAGTTCTTGGCTTTGCCTGCAGAATGGAAACCCTTTCAGACAAGGTGTCTCTCTACCACTCCCATTATCTTGTTCTCCAGCCACATCTGCTTGCACTTCTCCCATTTTGGTGCCTTTGCATGTGTCTTCCTCTCTGCCTGGAATGCCCTTCCCCTACTTATCTGCTTGGCCAAGTCCTTGAGCTAAGTGTTTGCACCTTAAGGAAGCTGACCCCTGCCTCTCCAGGCTGAGAGCTCAGACTGTTCTGTGCTGGCTTCTCTTGAAGCCCTAAACCCACGACACTGCAGTGACTGGTTTGCTTATCTCCATCCTCAGACTATGAAGCCTTCAGAGGCAAGAACTGTGCTTTGGTCACTACCGTCCCTGCAAGGTCCAGCAGAGCTGGGCAGTCAATACGTGTTTACTGAGGGAAAGTAACAGTTCCACGTCAAGTATTGGGAGCTATCCACTGAAGCCTGTGTTAGTTGCTTTTTGCTGTAAATGTTACCACCGTGGATAACTTGCACTTGATCTTGAACAGGCTCTGGAGATCATCCGGGGCTGTCAAGGCCTGAATGTGGTGGGTTGTGACCTTGTGGAAGTTTCACCATTGTATGATCCTTCTGGTGAGTGAGCAAAATAACTGTGATCCGTAGGCAACTGTTAGTCTAAATTACATAATCTAGTTAATAAGTAGAAAATGGATGGGTCTCCTTGTACCTGCTGAGCATGTCCTATACTGCAGAAAATAAACCTATTACTGCACACTTACAAACATGAGCTAATTAACCCTAACAAAGCCCCTGGGAGGTGGCTAAATATTATTAGCGTTCCCACCAGTCGCAGAAAAAAAGTAAACCAGCCTGCAATTGAGTGGCACAGTTCCATCCTCCTGATACATTGTTGAAAATTGAATTCTTAAAGCATAAGGAATAAAGTGGGGAGTTAGCAGGTTTAGGAGAGATCTTCAAAGCAGATGCCATCCCAATGATTTTAATTTAGAAAAGCTTAGAGTTTGGCTTATTAGCCTCAGAGAGTAAATAATAAATACGATACACATCATTGTTACAGGTTTTCCTTTGGGAAAAATCTGTTCTCAGAGTAAAGAAAGAAGCTTTTGAATTTAAAAATACTATTCTACAGGGTCTCTGTGAGTCAGAATCTACTTGATGGCAAATGGGTGTGTGTGGGTGTTATTTTCCAGTGAATGCTGGATGGAGGCAGAATCCCAGGGAAAGTGCATCCGCAGGGTGGCTGGGCAGCCCAGAAAAGAGCACAGAATGCAGGACTCTGGGAAGCAGCAGAAAGGAAAGACAGCTAAAGGAATCCTGGGAGGCTGCTCCAGGAGGCGGTGTGTGTGGTACTCACGGCGGGTTTTACTTTTTCGTAGGAAACACGGCGCTGCTGGCGGCTAACCTGCTGTTTGAAATGCTGTGTGTTCTCCCCAAAGTGAAAGTTGTCTGAGCTTGTGCTCGTCAAGATAAAATAACTGATGGCATCAGTGGCAAATTCTCAAGAAGAATTTATGAGCAAGCAGTCTGGGTACTGAAGGGTTTATGCCAATAAAGCTTCCTGCTCAAAGTGTCATTGGTGTCTGTAAGATCAGGGCACTCAGTAGAACTCCCATCCAAATAGTTAAAATTTCAAAGGAGTTTGAATTAACTTAAAAAAGAAAAAAAAAAGGAAGCACTCATCAATTGTACTGCTTTGATTTTTACCTTTGATGAAAGTTGGGGGAGAAATGGAAAATTTAGATCAGTGTTATCTAAAAAATGGAGAAATGACATAAAGTTGATGCAACAGTACTAGAGAAACCTTCCATATTTCTACAGTATCTTCCTACTGCTTTGAGGACCATTCAATAAAAAACTTGAAAGTAACACGCAGGTCCTAATAAGGCAGCTTCTTGCTTAAAACCAGGAGGACGCAGGCAATGTCTCCTAAGCCAAACAACATTAGCTGGCCCCCAAAGAGCCCTTAACGAAGCTTCCTCTATCCCACTCTCTGCAAGCCTCAGTTCTGCATGATCTCCTCTTCAAGCCAATGCACCGTCTAGGACAGCAATTCTTGACATCTCCGGTTAAGATGTGCTGACCTTCAGCATGTTGTGAGTTACATGCAAAGTCAACTTTGTTGACATGGTGTCTGTGATTACATAAGTTATCATCTTGCAATGCAAGAGCTATTCCATAATCATCACACATTAAAATAGTTTATTTCTGTTTCCAGTCTGTAATATTCTTAAAACAAAATAACATCAGCTTCAGTGCCTGTTTACAATAAAAAAAAAAAATAAAACCAACAAACATAAAAAAGACACAATTTGCCAAATAAGTTATTTGTTCCTAAGAGTATCAAAAGTGCAAAATATTCACCTTTTTTGAGATCTGTCTCCCAAGTACAACCATCCTCCTTGATAAACTGAACAGAGATTCAGCAGCTGCCACACTGCATTTGTTTTCAAGGGACAATGTCAGGTGTTTGGACTTGGGCAACATTTCCATCTGTAAAGATGTTTTGCAGCAGCTTTTGAACAATTTTACTTAAAAAAAAAAAAAAAAAGTTTGCATGTTTGCTTCCAAGCTCTCTTCCCAAACAAAGCAAATCACTTAAAACACATTCAGATCCCATTTCTTTTTATATCAAGGAAACATTTATGAACTGACGGCAGCTGCAAATTAATTAGGATCACAGTATATAAAAGGCGACAAGTATGAATAGGCTGGGAATGAGGAGAAAACCAACCTATTCATTTGAAAATGACAACAAAGTTTTTGTGGTCAATAAATGATGGCAGCGAGACCATGGTACCTGATGGGCAGTCTTGCTCCTTGAAAGGTGGCTTGGTTGGAGCTGACGACCTCTATGCTAGGCAAATTGTGCAACCAACACCTGAGCAATTAAAAAATGTTCTTGAAATGGAGTATATTCTACAAAGAGATGTTTTAGGCCAGTTGCCATTTTCATCCCTATCTGCTAAACATGATGTATAATGCATGACCTGTATCAACCAGAAAAGCCCACTTCTAAAAAAATCAATGTTGACAGCTTCAGGACATTTGAAGACTAGGAAGTTAACTTAAACCCAAATTGGGTCTTGTATGATTACATTCATTAGAAAGAGAAATGGTAGCATTGGCTGAGCGTGACAATGGCTCATATATTTGACACAAAAGTAAACAAATTTATGAAAACATACAGGAGGAAAAGCTTGGATGGTCAACTGTAAAGTTCGATGTGAAATAAAAGCTCTCTACAGTCCCAAAAAAGATTGAAAAGGATTTCCTCTTGGGGGGAAAAATTTACCAGTCCTCCAACACATCTGTAGAAGAATTTTTGGACTAAAACATTTTCTAGGAATGTTTTCCATCCTATCACTACTTTCTTTTGCTGGTACAAATGGAAGGTGCAGCTGTCTGAAGGTGCTTTTTACTACTACTAATAATAATAAAAGAACAAATCTGGGGAGTTTCTGATTTTCAGAAGTTAAGCTTGGGAATTCCATTAGTACCAGAAATTAAAAACCTACCACTGAACGAAGACACTACTCACAAGAGCAATCTACCATGAAAGACCCAGATTATAATTTTGAGGACTGGCACATCAATAAGCCAAATGAATCCCCTGACCGTTTCTAACTGGGCCAGGTGCCATGGCATTTAGAGTCATCATCCATTTTTAGAGGATCATATGGAAGAAAGAAGCCTGGCACTGATTATTATTTTTTTTAATAAAGCTGTAGACTCCATAAAAATTATAGGAATTCCTGGGCTGAAATAATTTATTACTACTGTAGCCCAATATTTAAATTATTCAGGATCCAAATGGTTTAGTTTAAAGCAATTATGATTAAATAAATAAATACTAACATAGTAAATGTCCCATCACTGATTCTCACCCTTCACTTTACAAAAGGCAATTTGCTTTGATATTTGAACAGACCACTCTTTGAAGTTGTCCAAACTCCATCGGTGGTTTTGCCCTGATAAAAAAAATCCAAAAAACAAACCGCACACTCTGGCTGGTCTGCTCTGCTCCAGCCTGGAGTCCATTATACACTGGAGCTCAGCAAGCTGGATGCTACTGATCAGCCTGACCCTGATACTAGTTAAACAGTTGTCAGTTAAGAGTGAAAATAATTATGACGAGATACCAAATAGAGGCCAGAAGCTGAAAAATAAGCCTTCTGTAAAACAGGAGTCTAGAACAAGTCTTGGCTCTCTCATTACAGAAGGGGACTTGAAGATACATCACTTTTGGGGTAACAGTGTCCAAAATACAAATGCTGATAAATTTTAAGTTCCTTGATACAAAGCCATGTCTGTATTTTACTAAAGAGACACCAATGGCGTGAAGAGGCTCCTCAAGCCTGACTCAGTGGCAGGTGGGAATCATTTGTAGTTTAACGTCTACTGGCTCATAGCAGCTTATCTCTATGCTCAGAGAACAAGATTAAAATTATGGCTCCTAATATCCACACCCTAAAATTGACAGAGGCAGGAAGGCATTGGAAAACGTACGTGTAAATGCCTCCAATCATTACAGTACCTCTTGCTGTGCAGATCCCTTCCCTGGGACTGCTTAGTGCTGGGGAGGCAGCAGGAGGAACACTCACAAAGGGATCCCAGAGCAGCAGCCCGTCAGTCACTGCCCAGCCCTCCCTGACCTTTTTTCTTGGGAAGAACACCCAACTCACATGCAGAAGCCCCACACCCCTGTTCTTTTAAAATGGTGGCTGACAAGCTGTTGTAGAGGGATGCCCCCAAAATATACTTTTAGCCACTTACTACTGGCAAAACCATTAAGTGTAAGATTGCTTGGTACTGGGGCCTCTTTCAAGATGCAGGGCCCAGAGAGCTGCTGTGGGTGGTTCTAATGCTAGAGCATGCACCAGGGCAGAAGCACAGCAGGAGATGGATGGCCCGGAGGGCGAGGGCAGGGCTGGGGGGTAGTGGTGGGGTAAGCGACCCGACCTGTACAACAGGCTCCGGAGGTTCCGTCCAGGTACTGCTGCAGGCTTGAGCCCTGTGTTCTCCAACATAAGACAGAGGACAGGGGAGTGAGGTGTGAGCATGTGACAGGGACAACAAAGGAAGAGGGATGGACAATCTATTTTAAATAGTGCGGCATTCAAATGAGGGGAAAAAAATAAAAGGAAGTATTTTGATCTAGGAACTCAAACTTGTGGTATTTTTCACTCCTAAGTTAGAACAGGGCAAAGGAATGATTCTTCTAGCCACTGTTCTAGAAGAGTAATCTAAAATCTATATTCTGTTCATTGGGATAGTTTGAGTCCTGAAAATACCTGTTCACAGGGGCATGTTAAAATCTGGAGAGTTCAATTCTCTTTTTGAAATCCTCTCAGTCTAATTCAGGCCATGATGGAATATAAAACCTCTGTAAGGAGCCTTCCAACAGGCGTTCCATCCATAAGGACAACTTGCTCAGTTTTCCTTTGATGGGCCTGGACCCAAGGCTGCAGGAAGATTTCCCTCGAGATTCACCCAGGTGGAGGGAAGAGTCGAGATCACTGCACGACCCCATGGCAGCTTCCTCCTCTTCTACTGTTTTATGGGGCTTGAAGAGGCAGTAGTACTTCTTGTGGCCATTGAGGGCCAGTACATAGCCCGTGTAGTCACGTTCCATGAAATGCTTATCATACTGGTTTGGGATTGGGGCTGCATCTTGAGCAAATTCTAATAAGTATTCTAGCCACTCTCTGTGTTTATCTAGACTCAGGAAGGAGAAGTGTAGGCAGCTGCTCCTGCAAGAAGAACAGAATGCAGATTTAGGGTTATTTCCTGACGCATTTATTTGCAGGTAACGTAAGTATCTGAGTTAGACTTTAAACAATAGGAAAAGGCTTTACCTCAGATGGGGCCTGAATGCAGAAAAAATGACAGGTTTTTGTGGGAACCAGAGGGCATCTGCAACAGCTGCCAATACTCTACTCATCCATCCTCCCACCCCTCGCTGGGTATAACCTATGTCACTCTCAGTCTCTGACTCCTGGAAAATACACAGGAACTAAACAGTCTGTTTTCTGAAGGGCTCAGGGAGTAAGACTGAGTTCAATCTCTTCTTCTGTTCACAACAAACAGAACATCAAGTCAAGGGAAAAAAAGGTCACCCCATGAAGGTGTAGATTTTTGGGTTGGGAAGGTCACAGCCAACATCTCACTGACTGGTAAAGTGCCCCAGAGTCAAAGAGGACATACCCTACCTCCAGGTGCCTCCTTACCCCAGTGTTCACGCGCTCTCTCTCTCTCTCACACACACAGATACACACGTGTGCACGGTACTTACCCAGTGAATGTGTAGACCTCCAAAGCAAATTTCTGAAGTAGGCTGGTTTTGGTGGAATTTGATAGGATGAGGACGATGTTCATGTGGCCTGGCCTCAGGCGTACCAAGTTACTGGTGTATGTTACATCTGTGAGTTCAGTTACCTCCACAAAGCCTTTTTTCGGAATCTTGCTGTGGAGAAATATCAAGGAGTTAGCTGTTATCAGAATAGAGGAATGCCATTACTTGTAAAAGGAGCAAGTGGAAACAAATGCTATGTTCTAACAGACTGGGTATGTTATTTAACATTCTTGAGCCTAACATGCTGGCAGGATGGGGATGACCCTGATTTTGTGATCCCTGACCAACAAATAGCCTCTCTGATGCTGCTTTTCAGCTGGTGTAGGAGTAGCTTTAGGACAGAAAGAAGAAGGCAGCTATTACCCAGTCTGCTTTCTTTGTCTCAGGGAGACCCTCACTTCCTGCCATTGCAGTGTGTGCTCACTACTGATCATATTCATCAGCACGGTTACGGTGACACACCATTTTCTGCTTCTGGCTCATCTACCATCTCTCTGATGTGCTTCTTTGCTTCCTGCCTTCATCATGAAATCTGAGATTGAGAAACAGAAGTTACAGAGAAGTAGGTCCTGTATCTAAATGCCTGAAGGGGTCTTAATAAAAACTAGTCAGCAGTGACTTTTCCCTATACCCACAAGGAGGTGAACCCGAGTTTACATTTACATCTACATATATCTGTCTGTACATATACATGAACTACTTTATCAGACTACACAATCTGTGGGTCTGGTGCTGAGTGGGAGGTGAGTTTGGTGTTTTGTCAGAGAAACAGCCCCTCTGTCCACGCCACCTGCTGTTTTCTTTGCTGAAGGTCGGCTCTGTCTTCCCAGACTTCTCATGGACTTCCTCTTTATCTGGAGGGTGTGACTCTTGTTCATCACTGGAGTCACTGAAGTAAGAAAAAAGGAGTTTTTTAAAAACAGAAGACAAACAATCATGGAGGCTGGGGACTCACCTTTCAGAAACTGTACCGAGAAGCCACAGAAGCATTTACCTGAAAGCCTGCATGATGACGGTGCCGAAGAGGATGAAGAGGGCCGAGAAGATCAGGGACAGGAGGGGCATCATTTCCCGCCTAAAATAAGGTTAACAAACTTAGGTCAGTTCTAGATGGGTTACTGTGATGTGTCGATGAATAATTTTAAGTTTCTTCTCTCTGGCTAAGACAA